GCGACCGACGGGAAGGCAGCAGGGAAAGGAAGAGCGACACCCGCGAACAACGAGCGGAGAACGGCAAATCCGGACAGGATTATGCAAAAATCGCGAAACAAGTGAGGGAGTGGAGTTTCCGTTATGACGGGAATGAGAAGCCACTGGAATTCCTCGAACAAGTGGGGTGGTCGGCCATGACGTACGGGCTGGACATCAACCAAATTCCGAGGGCGATGCCGGAGCTCCTTCAGGGCAGAGCGTTAAAATGGTTCATCGCGAACAACAGGTTCTGGGAGACCTGGGGCGGATTCAGCCAGAGCTTCCAGGAGTTCTTCTTGCCCAGGGGTTTCATGAACAAACTCGCAGATCAGGTCAGGCAGAGGAAGCAGAACTACGGTGAAAGCTTCAAAGACTACATGGTAGACATGCAGACACTGACGCGACCCCTGGGTATGAACAAGGACGAGATCCTGGAGCGGGTTAAAGAGAATAGCACCCCAGCATTACGGCTGTTTATACGCCCGTACAGGTGCCAGAACCTAGACACCCTGATGGCATTAGCGGACGAGTTTGAGGAGCTTGACCAGCAGAGGGAGCGGTTCGAGCAGGAGAACATCCCGAAAGCCCGATACCATGTGCCGGCCATGAGAAGGGAACCAGCAGCAACGTGCAGGCGCTGTCAGGAGGAGCCAGACGAGCGTAACGCACGGCCCGGATATGTGAACAATCCATCCCAGGCATGCCGGAGATGCGGAAGCCAGGACCACTGGGCGAAAGAATGCCGCAACCGAAGAATAGCATTCTGTTGGAGATGCGGGAAAATAGGCGTCACGAACGGCGAATGCTGCGCGCGAGCGGGAAACGCCAAGCGACCTCAGCCACCGAGGGGCGGCCAGGGATCGCAAGGTGCTGCCTCTCGAAATTAATGGGCGACCTGAAGGCGGAAGAGATGCAGCTGTCCGCCACAGTGCTCATAAACAAACAAAAAGTGAAGGCCACGGTGGACACTGGCGCCACGGCAAGTTTTATAAGCGAAGAGTTGGCGGACAGGCTGCAGGCCGCCGGTAAGGTCGTGCCAACGAGAAGGCAGGTGCGCATGGCAGACGGAAGATGCGGGAGCATCCAATCACAGCTGGAGATAGTGGTTGGTCTCGGGACGAGGAAGGTGTTGATGCAATTATTAATCCTCCCAAGGGTGATAGACGCCCTAGTTTTGGGCTGGGATTTCCTCTCAAAAATAGGAGCGGAGGTAAAATGCGCAGGACTCGAGGTGGCGATACCAGCAAGGAAGCGCAGACTAGGAATGCTGGAAGAGAGACTGTCGGTGGCAGTGGTAGAAACACCAGAACAGTTTTCGGAAGAGGACATCGCCAAATTCCTGAAGGAGGAGCTGAAAGCTCTAGAAGAGTCAAGCGGAGCATCGAACATATCCGTCCACAAGATCACGATGAAGGACGACCAGCCAGTGAAGCAGCGGTACTACCCAAAAAACCCCAAAATGCAAGGGGAAATAAACGAAAAGGTAGACGAGCTGCTGGAAAAAGGATGCGTCGAGCCGTCAAGAAGCCTGTACAGCTCTCCAATCGTCATGGTAAAGAAGAAGACGGGAAAATGGAGGCTGTGCGTAGATTTCCGACAAATCAACGCAAAGTCGGTAAAGGATGCGTACCCGATGCCTATGATTAATTACATCCTGGATCAATTAAGGGAGGCACGATACATCAGCAGCCTGGACTTAAAGGATGGATACTGGCAGATACCCCTGGAAGAGAAGAGCAGGCAGTATACCGCGTTCACCGTCCCAGGAAAAGGACTGTTCCAATGGAAGGTGATGCCATTCGGGCTGCACTCAGCGTCGGCAACGTTCCAAAGGGCGCTCGATCAGGTCATAGGGCCTGAGATGATGCCGCATGCCTTTGCGTACCAGGACGATATTATCGTCATCGGACGGACGCTGGAGAAGCATAAAAAAAACCTGAGGGAAGTGTTCCGAAGACTGCGGGCAGCGAACCTGAAAGTGAATGCGGAAAAATGCAAATTCTTCAAAAAGGAGCTGCAGTACTTGGGACATCGCATCACGGACCAAGGAATTGGAACTGATCCAGAGAAGGTAGCGGCAATAGCGTTGCTGAAGCCGCCAGCCAACGTTAAGGAACTGAGGCAATACTTGGGAGTGGCATCGTGGTACCGACGCTTCGTACCCGACTTCGCCACACTAGTCCAGCCACTAAATGCCCTACTCCGGAAGAAAGTAAAATGGGAGTGGACCGTCGACCACCAGAAGGCATTCGAGGCAGTCAAGGCCAGGCTGGTCGCAGATCCAATACTGGCATGCCCAGACTTCACAAAGACATTCATCCTGCAGACAGACGCCAGCGACTACGGGCTTGGCGCCATACTCACTCAGCATTCAGATCAAGGCGAGAGAGTAATTTCATATTCAAGTCGCTCCCAAAATGGAGCGGAAAGAAATTACTCCGCAACTGAAAAAGAATGCTTGGCGATTGTATGGGCCATAAGGAAGTTGCGACCTTACTTAGAGGGATACCATTTCAAAGTAATAACGGATCACATGGCACTAAAATGGCTCAACAGTATCGAGAGCCCGTCAGGAAGGATTGCGAGATGGGCGCTGGAACTCCAGCAATATGACTTTGAGATATCCTACCGAAAAGGCCAACTTAATGTCGTGGCGGACGCCCTGTCAAGACAGCCATTGCCAGCGGAATGCCGCCGCATGAAGACAAAGAAGGCAGACCCGAAGACAGCGGAACAGGAACGCGATTGGATAGCAGAGATGAAGAGTAAGGTAGAGCAAAACCCGCAGAAATACCCGGATTATATGCTGGAAGGCGATAAGATGTATCGCCACATACCCCACAGGGCGGGGAACGAGGACGTGGTCGCGTGGAAGCTATGCATACCCAGAGGATCAAGGCAGAGGGTGATAGCGGAAAACCACGACGCGCCAACAGCCGGTCACTTGGGCAGCAGGAAAACAATAGCAAGAGTGGCTGCGAGGTACCACTGGCCGGGCATGCATAGGGACGTCAGAGCCTACGTACGTAGCTGTGAGAGCTGCATGAAGTACAAGCCGAACCAGCTGCAGGCGGCAGGCAAAATGTTGACGCAGATTCCCGAGGAGCCGTGGGCGACAGTGTGTGCCGATTTTGTCGGGCCACTGCCGCGGTCAAAACACGGGAATGCAATGCTGCTCGTGCTGGTGGACCGATTCTCGAAGTGGACCGAGTTGGTGCCGATGCGGAAGGCGACCACGGAATCTCTACAGAAGGCGATAAGAGAGAGAATCGTCTCGCGGTACGGCGTCCCTAAAGTTCTAATCACGGACAACGGGGTACAATTTACAAGCAGGGCGTTCAAAAGATTTCTGGAAGAATTGGGGGTGCGACACCAATTCACTGCACCATACACACCGCAGGAAAACCCGACAGAAAGAGCAAACAGGACGGTTAAGACGATGATCGCCCAGTTCGCGGGGGCCGACCAGAGGACCTGGGACGACAAATGGCCGGAACTACAGCTGGCAGTGAATACCAGTGTGGCGAAGTCCACCGGGTACTCGCCAGCGTTCGTCACCCAGGGTCGAGAACCTAGGCTGCCGAAAGCTCTTTTCGACGAGCACACAATCGGAACCGGAAAGGCGACACAAACACCGAAGGAAAATGCACAAAAACTGTCGGAAATTTTCGAACTCGTCAGGCGCAATATGGAGAAGGCAGCACAGGATCAGGCAAGGCATTACAACCTGCGAAGGAGACCGTGGACGCCAAGGATTGGTGATACGGTCTGGGCAAAGGAGCACCACCTGTCCAAAGCGGTGGAAGGCTTCGCGGCGAAATTGGCCCCCAGATATGACGGGCCATTCACAATCACTAATTTTATTTCCCCGGTAATTTGTAATTTACGGCACAGCCAGAATGGCAAGGAAAAGAGAGCTCACATTAGCGAGCTGAAGCCGAGCACAACCGAGGGGGAAAAATAGAGGTGACCGTCATACTGGGGGCGCACTGTACGTGTGTTTCGCGAGAAAGGGAGAGGACGATACGGAGTATCGAAGAAAATGGCCACCCACACACACGTACACATTTGGAGCGCGAAAGCGGGTTAGAGGAGGGTATGTATGCACAAGCCGTGGCAGAGAAAAAAAAACGGCCGGACACTTCAGCAGCGGCAGGAGTGTCTGCAGAAGCAGCAGCAACGACATGAGGATCGGCAGCAGCAACAACAGCGGCATCAGCAGCAGCAACAACAGCGGCATCAGCAGCAGCACAACTACAGCAGCGGCAACAATTCAGGCCGAGGCGGAAGGCCGCGGCCAGCGGAACAGCCAAGGGCGAAGTGGGGGCTCCGGCGCTTGTCGCCGGTCCTCCAGCTACTGGCGTCCCCGCTGGTGCCGTTGTCTCCGTCGCCGGCCTGGCATGCGGTGGAAGTGGAGAAGAGGAGGTCAGCTGCCCAGGAGAGACGCCTGCCGGGACGCGCTGGGCCAGGGTTGGCGCCCCGGCGCATGAACATTAAGGAGGCATCGGCAGCGCGACAGGCTGAAAGAGTTGGAGAATGGGAAAACGAAGAAAATGGGAATTTAAAAATTTTCTGACTTACCAAAACAAACAAACGAGGCCAGCTGGAATTGGGAATGGGGTCGCCACGATAACGGCGGTCGATCGATAGTGCGATCGATGGGAGCTAAAAAATACTGGAAATATCGCTGGCCGGTCACACTGAATATGACGGCACCCTGAGGAGTGGCAACGCCACGATCGATAAACGAGTTATCGATTGTGCGCGGGGAAATTCTGCGCGGGAGACATTTTCAAATTTGAAACGAGGATCGGAAGGAGTCGCGCGCTGGGTGTTTCCGACAGCCAAGATGCCCTAGTCAAGAAGCCCAACGACGGGAAGTCTACATAAGCTGAGACTTAGGTGCTGAGGTTGGAGGAGCTCTCAGCCGTGGCAGGAGGAGGTCGACGAGGGAGTGGCAGCGGCCACAAGGATCGAGGATGGACGTGTGCGCAAGGAGCCGGGGGGGTCAAGATGCCACAGTCGAGATGCTGAACGACCAGGTAGGGTCCAATAGGCTGAGGCTGTCCGGCTGAGATCCAGGAGGCCCTTGGCCGCACTCAGGAGTGGAGGTCGACGTGGGAAGGAGGCAATTTGAGAACGTTTCCCCAGGACATTCCGGAGCCCGAAGCTTTTAAAAGTTTCCGAAGGAAGGGGGAGATGTAAGGGTATGTAAAAACGCCTTACAAGTTTGAGTGCAGGAGAGCCGCATAGCAACAGCGGGATGCGCGGCATGCAGAGAAAAAGGGAAATAACGGTGCAAAGGACTTTGGACTCAATGCTGCGGTGAGTCTGCAGACTTTGGACCCAGACGGTGAGTCTGCGGACTTCGGACCCGCGCAAAGAGGAGAGACCGTGAACTAACGGTACCGGTCTGGACTTTGTACCCGTTATAACGGTGAAGTTCTGGACTTTGTACCCGTTATAACGGTGAAGTTGGCGGACTTTGGACCAGCACAAAGAGGAGAGACCGTGAACTAACGGGACTTGTGCTGCCCTTTGGACCCAATCACGCCACCGAAGGAGGGAAATAACGGGACCAGGGTGGCATATAAAAGGAGGACGCGTGCAGGAAGCTGGACAGTCAAGTGAAGTCGTGCAACGAGATCGTACCAACGCGAGTGAAACCCCAAGGAGAATACCAAGTGCCACTTAATCCGGAGTCAAGATCGCCGAGTCAAGAAGCCCAACGACGGTCACGTCTACATAAGCTGAGACTGCCAAGCTGAGATCCCGAGGGTACAAGGTAAGTTGTAGGGTGCGTCTACGAGTCTCGAAATCGACGAAGTTGGTGGAGTCTTGGCAGTGGATGTTGTGCGAAAGGTACCCAGCGTCGGTACCCCATGAAAGATTGAGGACCTGCTGAGGGCCAGGCCGACGAAGATCCAGTGGAGTTGTGCGAAAGGTACCCGGCGTCGGTCCACACGAGAGTGAGGACCTGCTGAGGGCCAGGCCGACGAAGTCCCGACCGAACTCCGGGGTGGAGCGAAGAGTGGTGACTGCAGGCATCACTGCTTAGCCCCGCTAGGGAGGTTCTGTCTAACATCCTCCAAGGTTGTGAGAGGCTCGTAGCTTGCCTAGTACGCGACCGGTGCCCGAAAGACTCGGCAAGGCAGAGGACGCACGACAGGCGTGCCGCCATAGAGTCGACGTGGGAGCCACTACCGGCGTCGACGAGGGAGATCGAGTCATCAGACAGCAGAACCACGAATCAAATATCGAGCTATAAATCTACGTACAATAAACCCAACAAGTATTCCTAAATCTAACCTAACTCTGTGTTATACTTTGGTCTCGGGGTTACGCATCAATAAATTTGGTGGGACGAACACACAAACTCATCTGAGCTAGCCGCACGTTCTCGTAGCGAGCGAAGACACAAAAGCAGTTCGTTACAACTTATTCTTCTTATGTTCTATTTGCTTCAATACAAGTTCCATTTCAATTTAATTTTTTCTTACTTATTTATCTTATTTCTAAACTTAATAAAAAGGCAGAAATCAGCCAACACAAGCCGTCTAACCAAACGCGGTCGAAGGCCTGGGCGACATCCAGAAAGACTGCGGAACTATACTCTTGACTTTCAAATGTATTTCGTATTTCCGAGGTTATTAGGTTTACTTCAGGTGTTCCTTTAAACGATTCAGGAGCAGCTTTTTAAATATCTTTAAAAGGCACGGCAGAAGACTGATTGGCCTATATGGTGAAGACTGGGACTTGTCCTTTCCAGTTTTATGGATCATGGTGATTAAAGACTTTTTCCATTGTTGCGGATAACAGTCCCATTTCATCATGCTGTTATATCGTGGTAAGAAGATTTACTGCACAGTTCGGCAATTCCATATTCATTTTAGGGGAGATTTAAATCGCGCTTTCTTTTTTTTCCTGAGCCTCTATCACTTTTATCACTTCTGTTGAATGGAATGTGATAGGCAGTGTAGCCTCTGGAGTGATGCTTGTTGGGAGCACAAAGCTATTTGTTGATGGAAGCGGTTTGAAGACGTTTTCTAGATGTGCAGCAAATACATTTGCCCTCTCTTCGTTGCTGCGAGCCCACTCTCCTGTTCGTGTGTATAATGGCGATTTGCTTTCGATTGGTGGACACATACCCGATTAAGCTTTCCACAGTGGATATCGTCCGCTGTTAGGGGAGAAATTCTGCAAATAGAATAATTGAGATCGATTACTTTCATCTTCGTAGAAGAAAGCGGTGTGCTTTAAGCCGCTCCTTCGAGGCAGGCGATCTCACCGGATCGACCCCAACCCAGAGACGATGCCGGCGCCTGACCCCCAGGACATGGACGAGGACGAGCTGGAGATGCTGTCCGAGACGCGCGCCCGTCTGGCCAACACGCAGGGCAAGAAGGCGAAGCGCAAGGCGCGCGACAAGCAGCTGGAGGAAGCCCGCCGCCTGACCACGCTTCAGAAGCGACTGGAGCTCCGTGCCAACTTCATTGGCAGCGGGAGCCGCAAGCGAATCAAGGGCATCGCCTACAACGCGGAGAATCCCTTCAAGAAGCGGCCCGCCCTGGGCTTCTACGACACCTCCGAGGAGATCTTCAACAAGATGAAGCAGCGCAAGGAGAAGGAGGTGCCCTGGGCCATGCCACAGAACATTGAGCCGGAGCGGAAGCGCTCCAAGCTAGTCCTGCCCAAGCCGCAGATCTCCGACATGGAGCTACAGCAGATGGTCAAGCTGGGCCGCGCCAGCGAGGTGGCCAATGATATAGCCAGCGAGAGTGGGATCGAGACGACGGACGCCCTGCAGGCCGACTACTCTATAACGCTCCAGGTGGCGGCCACTCTGCGAACCCCATACACAGACCGCATCATGCAGGAGGACAGCGAGGCGATGGAGACTAGCTCGGACCCGGCTGTCGAGGACCAGGCGGACGTAGACGCCCGGCTGCTGGCCGAGCAGGAAGCGCGCCGCAAGCGGGAACTGGAGAAGTGCTCGCAGGTGATCCAGTGCAGCCTGCAGCGTCGCACTGCAACACGGCACACCAAGGTCCTGCGCCCACAGTCCGAGAAGCAGAACCTCACCAAGCAGATACTCGCCGACGAGATGGAGGTGGTGAAGGAGTGCATATCGCACGGCGAGCTGCCCTCGCAGTACCGCTACACCCGCGCCAGCCTGGCCAGCAAGAAGGACCGCCTGAAGTCGGCCGATAACCGGATGGAGATAAACCGCCGCCACATAGCGAAGGAGGCCAAGCGTTGCAGCAAGATCGAGAAGAAGCTCAAGATCCACACCGGTGACTACCAGGCGCGCGAATTATAGTCGGTGGTCCGGAGGTGGCTGGTACAATTATATCGATTGGCCAGATGTGGTTGGGTTTTGAGTTTTAAGTGGATTAAATAAATTCAACTTCTTCCTTCAAGTGTCGTTATAAGACTGATCTTTTATTTAGAACTGAATACAAATGAAAGCTAGCTTTAGAGTGGGGTACATATGCTGTGTTTGCGAAACAGCCTAGGTCAGCATTTTGGGCCGGATGCCTGTGGCCCAGTTGTTTATATGTTTGGACATCGGGAGTCTGCTGAGTCGGTGGTTCGATGTCCGGGTTGAACGGCACCGCCTGTTAGTGGGACATTGCCCGAGGGGGCTTGGGTGGAGGTGATGTCATCTGTAAGACATCAGCGGTAACTCGCGCCAAGGTGCTGATCAAGCTGCTGCAGCACACCTACGGCCAGCTCGAGCAGAGATCCGTCTCACTGTCCACGTTCCGCTTTCTGGGCGAGCAGAAGGCCATCGCGGTGCCGCGCCGCCTAGAGTCGCTGCAGGAGGACGTGGGTCAGCAGATAGACCGAGAGAAGGAGCTGCGACAGAAGTACGCCAGCCTGGTGAAGGAGCGCGAGTCCCTTTACTCGCAGATCGAGCAAATAACTGGCGTAAGGCCCACGGCCCAACAACTCCTGCCCGAGCAGGAAGCATAAAACCCTAATCCGCGATTCAAACAGCTCTAGTCGCTCACGCTTATGCACTCAATTTCTTTTTCTTTCTCCTCCCAGATTCCAGGTACAGCTCAGGACGCTCAGGATGCTTAGGACACACTTAATGCTACGGTCTAGCATTGGCGGGCGGCATGTTCAGATTCACGATCTGGCCCCACGGTGCCAATACTTGCGGAGAGTTTAGGCAAAGGGAGCTCTCACTGCTGCTGGAGGGAGAGAGACAATTCAGTCTGATCTTGCACTGCATCGCGACGCGAACGGAGCTGCGTTTTTTACACTTCTTTTTATTATTGCTTTGTTATATATTCCTAACCAACTCAAAACTACGAATAAATAGTGAAATTATATTGTCTAATTCTCAAAGTGTTTTGTATGACGACGGAACCCCTTAATTCTATTACCCCGAGCTGCCGGCAGGAGGGGACACATCTGAACATAACCCTTAGGTAACATATTAAAACAAGTGTAATTTGTATTATTGCGCAGGTCAGTATTCAAAAGAATCAAAAGATAAGAAAGATGTAGGTATGTAAATGCAGATCACACGCTTATAATCAAAGCCTACAATAAGCATGTATGTATGTATGCCTTATGATAGCCAAAAGAGAAGTAGAAAGAATTATGATTCAGTTGTTTGTGTATTTTTTTGAGTGTTATTGTTAGTAGGAAAGTTGGAAAGTTATGTTTGTGGTTTGATCTGTTGGGATGTTAATTATGTTTATTGATTTTATTTTCTTACAGTTTTTACAAGTACATGTCGGATCATAAATTATAATAGTCAGTGTATGGGGAATCAAAACATGTGTGACGACTCTTCTCGTTGCACTGTAAAGATTGTTTGTTAGTGCGCTTTATTCTACCTATTCGCCAGGTGTTCAGAATAGTTCGATGCGAACATCTTGCGTGAGGTTAGAGGTTTGAAAAAGTGTTACGCACTTGGCGATTGTCGTGTGTGTATGCTTGAGCCACTGCGAGAGACAGAGATGCCAGTATGTGCATTACAACATTTGCGATAGCCCAGTTTTTCGGGATTCTAGAACAGTCTAAAACAGGCAGTGGTGCGCTCAAGTCTATTCGCCATCTACAACCGTCTAAAAATTATAATAAGACATGGACAAGGAGAATCATAACCCGACATACACAAAAAAATTTTATAAATTTGTTTTTCTAATTGATTATTAACAGGCAAACAATTCAAAATAAACATACGGCACTGTACCTACTGATCGGGTAATAATGCGTTTGGGTATATGCGTTTCTTTGTTTTTCTTGTTTTCAGATTTTCTTTTTTTTTTATGATTTTAATGAAACTTTTATATCACAAACTTTCAGATCAATTGGTTTTTAACAATTTGTTTTTAATTTATTAACTGTGTAGTTCCTTGTTTTTTTATTTATAACTTTCAGTTTTTACGTAGTTAGATCAAATTAAATATGCAATATTTTTCGCTTTAATTGGGTACTTATAACTTGTCCTTTCTCTCCGGTTTTTGAGCACTAACGTTTTTGTTGTTTTATTTGTGTTTTTGTGGACTCTCGCTGTGGCCTTCAACCTGATGAGGGGGGTACTCCTTTTTAACCTCTAATTCATCCTTCCAAGGGGAAGAAGATGCGGGGGCCAATTTCTCTCAAAGAATCCTACACAACTGATTTCAGCCAATTTTGTTCCGCACACAAGCGTGAATAATATGGATCCCACCAACAGCCGAGTTGGAGCTGTACCAGGTGCTCACTATCTTGAGGCTATATTGGTGAGAGTGAGATCTGTGAATATGGAAAAAATTAAGAGAAAATCTCTATCAAGCCATGAAATTTCACAATAGTTTTTGTGATTAAAATAAAGTATATTTAAAAACTGCCAAATTAAACACAATAATGACACAAGTTAAGCACAGGAAAAATGTCAAAGTTTATTATAAGGTTTCCAGAGATAACAAACGGCGGGAAAAAACTTAAAGTGCGGGCGCGTGCGAAATGATCAGAAATAGAAACGAGACTGACTTAATTTATTTTACATCTTACCCCTCTTCCTTCTTCCCGCTTGAAACGGACGCGATCCACATTCCGCGTTTCTACTTCAACTTATTCTTCTTATGTTCTATTTACTTCAATACAAGTTCCATTTCAATTTAATTTTTTCTTACTTGTTTATCTTATTTCTAAACTTAATAAAAAGGCAGAAATCAGCCAACACAAGCCGTCTAACCAAACGCGGTCGAAGGCCTGGGCGACATCCAGAAAGACTGCGGAACTATACTCTTGACTTTCAAATGTATTTCGTATTTCCGAGGTTATTAGGTTTACTTCAGGTGTTCCTTTAAACGATTCAGGAGCAGCTTTTTAAATATCTTTGAAAGGCACGGCAGAAGACTGATTGGCCTATATGGTGAAGACTGGGACTTGTCCTTTCCAGTTTTATGGATCATGGTGATTAAAGACTTTTTCCATTGTTGCGGATAACAGTCCCATTTCATCATGCTGTTATATCGTGGTAAGAAGATTTACTGCACAGTTCGGCAATTCCATATTCATTTTAGGGGAGATTTAAATCGCGCTTTCTTTTTTTCCTGAGCCTCTATCACTTTTATCACTTCTGTTGAATGGAATGTGATAGGCAGTGTAGCCTCTGGAGTGATGCTTGTTGGGAGCACAAAGCTATTTGTTGATGGAAGCGGTTTGAAGACGTTTTCTAGATGTGCAGCAAATACATTTGCCCTCTCTTCGTTGCTGCGAGCCCACTCTCCTGTTCGTGTGTATAATGGCGATTTGCTTTCGATTGGTGGACACATACCCGATTAAGCTTTCCACAGTGGATATCGTCCGCTGTTAGGGGAGAAATTCTGCAAATAGAATAATTGAGATCGATTACTTTCATCTTCGTAGAAGAAAGCGGTGTGCTTTAAGCCGCTCCTTCGAGGCAGGCGATCTGTGGGCTTGCCATTTCCTCCGAAGTCTTCTCTTACTGCGTAGCAGTTCGTTAGTATGCCCAGAAGCTCGACTGCTGCTAGAATTAGAATTAAAATTTAAATGGACGAGTGATCCATTAAAGATCTGTTGAGTGTGGAAACATTAACATGACCTCTAAGCACTATTCTTGTGACGGCAAAATCAATCAGGTCTGGCTTCTTGTAAGGATCTGTTGGCCAATATGTAGGCTTACCTGGAAAGATAAGGTCAAGCTTGTTTCTTGGTGTTATTATAGTGTTGTACAGCTGTCTTCCTTTGGGGTTGGTGAGTCGAGAGCCCCAATGGGGGTGTTTGCATTGAATTCACCAGCCGCTATAAAACGGTCACCTAATAGAACAAAGAAGTGTACAAATTCATTTTCGGAAATGAAAAAGCTGATAGGTTTGAGAAACCGATTTAGGTATCCATGTGTATTGATGTAGCTTGTAAATAGGCTGTTGCGAATGATTTAAACTCATAATGCCAGATGCGTTTCTTGATCAGTATGCCAGAGCCGCCATAAGCTTTGTCATCAGGATGGTTTGTTTTATAAAATGTATAGCCATTAAGATATTTTGTTCATATTTTTAAGGAAACCATCTTAACCGACTTTTGTTTGATTAATAGCTCCAGAAGGAGATTTTGAGAGCGCCTAAGTTTCTGCAGCGTTTTCTGTATTGCTACCATTGTGTTGGCTCTAGTTTCCATCATTGCTTCTACGCCATTGGGCAATTGTGTGTTTGCATTCGCATTTTGGCCAGTAGTTTCTGGAATCTGGTTCAATGTTTGTTGCCGCACTGTATCAGCAGTGGTTTGCTGACCTGTCATATTAGATACTGAGGCGTTCGTCCCATTGTTGTTACTTAACGCCTGCGTAAAAGAGACTCCCGAGATCGTGGTCATTGGTATAAATGGAGAAATGTTTCGGTTTACAGGATTTCGAGCTGCAGTTATATGTTGGCCTAGTCGACTTTTCAACTCTATATAGACAGGACAACCTCTATCATTTTCAGTGTGGTTTCCCCCACAATTACTACATTTTTGGCAGAATGGTTCTCCTTGTTTATTGGGCAGGCCTCATTTGAGTGTGCATCTCCGCAGGCAACGCGGACTGCACGTAGGGTGCAGTAAGATTTCGTATGTCCGTATTCCTGATAATTCATACATTGTGGTTGTGGTGTTTCTCAGCGCTGATCCTACGGTGCAGCAGATATTGAAGCTTATATGTTGGGTGGACTCCATTGTTTTTTAATTTCATAGTTTCCGGCTCCAACTCTATATTAAACATTGGCTGCGGAACTTTGTTTTTATCTAATATACTAGTAAACCCAGCGAACTGCGTTCCGCCACCAGATGGCGATAGTTTTAGGTAAAACTTCGTTTGGTGTTTAAAAGATAAAGAAAATTTTTTTTGTTTTATATATGAAAAGGAAAAATTTTATTTCGATACCATTAAAACATTGGCCATTGCTGAGTGTTTTGCAATATTACACGTTGGTTCTTCAATAATTTGAAGATTTAACGGTAATTTTAATGCTGAATGAGCCGTTTGGCATCCTTATAACAATATGGCTGCTATTCCCGAAGAAGCAACTGCAACAGCTATGTTGGATCTCGCCCGAACAGTTGCTAAAGCTAATGACATAAGGAATGTCTTGCCAGTTCCACCAGAGGCATCTAGGAAATATAAACCACCATGTTCTTCATCGAAAGAAAGTATCAGAAACTTTCTTCTGTTGGGAATTCAACAGGGGTACATTCGTTTGAACTAATAAATTTAATTCCTGGTGATCATATTCACGTTCCCGTTCTAATTCTCGATTAAATTCATTCACGATTTGGCGCTGGCATTCTAACCTGATTAATATATTACCGCACATGAGGTAACACATATCTTCGATCAAGAGTAAAACCCGATTATGTATCTCCTCATTCATCAAATTATTCACAATCAGGATGGCGACTTCGTCTATTGTTGGAGCATTAAATGTCCTTGATGGTCCTTTATCTGCTTTTATGACAACTTTATAGTCATC